TTTTTTTTTTTGGTTTAAATGAGCATCGAATTTATATTCTCCATCCTAAAAACACACTAAAAAAAAAAACCCTTTCCTATTTTGGTGTTTAAGAGCCGATGGATCGGGGGATAGCCTTCAACATCAAGTAGCCTTCTCAATTCTCATCCAATTATAATTTTTATGTAGTTTAAAATGCATAATATTTTTTTTATATAAAAAAATCTTTTTAATAAAAACAACAAAAATATGAAAATACATAACAGAAAAGTGATTTTTCTAGTAGCTAGATAGTCCTAAAAATCCATAATTCCAACTATATAATGATTTGTGATTTTTTTTTTTTCTGAATAAATTATAACTTGAAAATGAAATATTTAAATTTAAATCTTAGATCAAGAGATGCACTTTACTATGAAATATAGAACATTTGATGTGACTTTTTTAGATTAACTTGTATAGAAAAAATTAATTATTTAACATTAAAAAAAACGTTTGAATTTCTATCTTAATATTAAATTAAGGTCTTATGATTAATTAATGGTACAACTCGTCTAAGGAATCAACTGTGACTATTAAGGAGGCCACAGGAAAGCTCCATCAGCAGGATTGCAGCATCTTCCACATCATGTGGAAGTGGAAACACATCCTGCAAACCCGAATCCACAGCCTTGAAGTAATATTTCTGTATCTTATGTTGCCCAACATGGCGTTTACGAGATTTCTTTTCCTTTCCAGCATGTGCCTTAACCTTCACCCTCCTTGCAGCAACCGAATCTGCAACTCCATCACTTGCAGCTACTGCTTCCATGGCTCTCCTCGCCTTCCCTTGCCGGATCCCACAGGCATTGCAGAGCGACTGCATCCACAATAATCAGTTAATTAGCAACACTCCATTGAAAACATGCATGTATATAAGAAAAAATACAAAGAAATAATAGAAAAATTAATGACCTTAGGACCTCTAGGACCGGTTCTCCAAAGGGGTGTTGAGGTTGTGTTGCAAGCAGAGCAGACTCTAATGGTAGTGCTAATATCGTTGTTTTTGTCAGTACCAGGGCTGTTGGAGTTGATCATTCTATGCATTAGCCTCGTCTTGGATGACATCCATTTTCCAGCTGATCGATTCCAATTATTTGATGAACTAATTTCATGGTGAGTGCTTCTAAAGGATGATAATTTATGATCCACAGCAGACTGAACTGAAGAAGATGGCAAGCATGCTTGACCATGATCAATACTTGATCCCTCTCTAGTCATGTAATTTTCACTTCCCTACGATCAAATTAAAAGAGAGATTAAAAAACATTGAGCTGTAAGGAGATCAAGAAACAAAATTGTATAGGAATACAAAGAGTTCTTACCTTGTTGTCATCATCATGGAATCTCTGATCTTGATTTGGGTTGGAGAAAGTAGGGACAGATAGGTGGAGATTATGATCATGTGGGTTTTGATCATGGGGAGGAAAAAAGGAAGATGTTGTTTTGTTGAGATAGATTGGCGTCATTGGGAGAGAAAAAAGTTTAAGAGTTTGTAAATAAGGGGGACAAGGTTTGGGAATTTAGGACAGGGGAAAGAAGGAACAAATGGCTAAAATCCTTAATAATTATATAGGGAAAAAATAGGTAGAGAGGTGGAGAAGAGAGAGAGAGGCAGGGAATGGACTCACGGGGACTTCATGTCACCCTGAAACATGATAAATAAGACAAATTAATTAAAGGAAGGGTGTGGAAGGCCCCAGTACTCGACTCCCCAGTGGGACAAAACGCTATCATCTGCTCAAATTTCACCCCTTCAAAATTTAATGTTTGTTATTTTGTGGATATATATGAACAACTGAAAATTATAGGGGTTCCACATTACAATCATCCTATTTTTGTGCAATGTTAGATGAAATCCACTCAAAAGACTAACGAGTTAAGTGTGAGTATCAAATTGCTATGTCTCCCTCTTCACATCCGATGTAAAATTAGATCACCTAATGCCTTACGTCTACATATATTGATACAAATTAAGGGAAATAAGTATATATTTATGTGTATCTGGACTTGAGAGAAAGTTCATAGATATTTTGCATGGATAACATCTGGAATATTTGAGAAATGAAGTGCCAGACAAAGGATCTTGCAGCTATATGAGATGGGTAAATAGATTTTTGCATCTCCTGTTTTAAGGTCTTGCCAAAAGCCATCAAATACTCTTTGCAGGCCCCCATCATTTAGTTCCCAGATATATATTTTTTTTTTGGCCTTCAACCCTCCTTAATATATCTTCTTATTAATTTCCTCTCTTTAAATCGCGTTAAGTTAAAAAAGAAGAAGAAGACATTTTACAATACCACCTGCATGACTTATCAGGGTGCGTGTATACTGGATTGAAGACTGAGATTTTGTTAAAATTTAAGCATAGCTTCAATTGCTACATGCCCATGATTTGCTGGGATGTGCCTAAATAAGGCTTATTCACCTAACCGCCTAATCGACGTATTCAACCACTTTGATGCTTTGCTTAGTTACGCAAAATAGCTGCCTGCGGCCTTTGATGGCATTCTAATTATTCACTGGGGTAAAAAGAGACAAAAGACAAATCTGTTGTGTCAACTTGAAAAAGACCCACTAAATCATAAGTGAATCAAGGCACCCAATAGACACATTCCAGGTCATTGTTATTTTCAAACTCACTGGATAAAATGTGAATGGTCTTAAGGATAACTCTGAGATTAGTGCCTGTTGTAGGTGATATAATTTCCATGATCAAAAGACTGGCTACGTAGAATTGTTGTGAGTCACTCCCCCCAACAACATATCTTTGCACTTTGATTAGATATGCCATGACAGCAAGGCACCTTGTCGCCATATACCACGAAATTAAACCAATGACATGAGGGCTTAAATATTTTCACAACAAACTGCATGTAATCTGGATTAAAAAAAAAAAATTAGTATTACAATTTGCCAATTTGGCGAGAAGCCAATATGTTTACGGATCAACTTGCTAAAATAGGGTGCTCTCTTCTAGAGCTTATTGTCATATTTGACGCCTCTCTACTTCCGCTATTCACTTTTCTATGACTAATGCCTGTGGGCTTCTCTTCCTTGGACCCCCACGTAAATCCTTTTATTAGATGCAACATATCGTTTATTATTATTATTATTATTTTAAAAAAAGAAGTTGGGTCACCCACCAAAAGTAAAAGCCCAATTTATGTTCTACTTTATTCTGGGTGGATTTGTGCTCTGTGGACTGAAAAAGGATAATAACGAGCCCAAAAAATCCAGAGCTTGAAGCCCCAGAGTCCAGAGAAGGGAAAGGCCGAAAGGGAAGCGCCGCGGGGCACAGCAATAAATGCAAGAGTAATGATGGGATGAAAATTTAAATCGAAAATTTATAATTAATAACTTAAAATAAATTATATTATTAAATTAATTAATATATAATATTATATATTTTAAAAAATAAAAAGTAATTATTAAATAATATAAAATTTAATTATTAATATTTTAAATAAAATAATTTATATTATATTATTAATTTAAATTTTGGTCTCATGTTATGAACCCATTTATTATTATTCTAAATGCAAATATGGCAAAAGTGAAGGTTTCCTATTTCGGAACCCTAACCTAAAAAGAGACAGAGGACACTGTGTCATGTGCTTATGGTCCTATCCCTAACCCTATAAGCGACAGCCAGGACTGACACCCAAAGTGGACCAAAATGCTCCTGACAGCAACACCAGCTCCCATTTCCCAACCCAACTCAGCCTTATCCCCTTTTACTCTTGTTGTTTTGCATCATTCGACTACACTACAAAGTACAAACCGGTATTGGGGTTGGATTGTCATGTCCTTCAGTTTTTTCTTGTGCTAAGAACTGTGCAAGAACATTGCGCTAAAGGGTGTGCTAGAAAATTACTCAATTCAGCGTAATTTGCTCACCCTTTCAACCACCTCTTCTTTTGGTTGTGCATATCCTTTTCCAAGTTCCGTCTTTTATCTGATTTTGATTATGGGTTGTTCAACAAGGTATGAAAATATTAAATATGAGAAAAAAGTACAGCAAAGAACTACTTAAATATGAAAATTTCACACGTAAATTTAAATACAAAGCTTATATTTAAATTAACACATATTTTATGTGTAAATTTGAGTTTTATTTCGTGAATTAACAATAAATTTTTTTAAAAAATGTTATTTTAAGGCCCAAACAAGCTTTCTTTTTTAAAAAATTTAAAATTTTATATTAATGTTATTAGATTTAAATATGATAATGAGTAAAAAAATTAAGGAGATAAAAATTATTTTTTATTATAAAATTTATCAAAAAAATATTTTATATTTTAAAATAATTCAAACAGTAAAAACAAAATACTTATAATTTATAATCTAACGTATATAAAAAAATATTAAAAAAATAAAAATAATAAAAAAAACCACGTCCTAAGCAGCTGACAATATACGTTCCAACTTGAATGTGTCAGCGTGGCCTTTAGCGGCGGATTGAGATTGGGCAATCTGAACCGTTGGATTGATGAATTAACGGATACGATTTTGTCAGACAATTGGAATCTCAGAGCGAACATCTTGACCGTTGTCGGGTCCTTCTGGGTAACTTTAGTTCACTTTGGAAGACTTTAGTTCCAGCAAAAATTAATTTCTGGTTGAAAAAAAGATCTAATTTTATTATTTTGGATTTTTGAGAGAAATGCATGCAATCCATGGTAGGAGGTTAAATTTGTATTAAAAAAATAAAAATTAATTTTTAATTTATTAATTATTTAATTAAATTTATTTAATATTAAAATTAATATCAATTTTTATATATATTTTTTATATATTTAATGTAAAAAATTACTCTCCCCTTATACGGTTAGAAAAATCATAATTTTAA